GTGTGACACCAGGAGGGGGCAGACCGGACATTCATTGGGGTGGGGGGTTTCTTTTCAGGGTTTATGGGGACTGGGCAGGGGTTGGGGGTCAAAGCCGTGACTTACACTCAGTGCCTCTAAGATGCACAGAGATTATCGAGAAAAAAACCAATATTTACATTTTTCATTTATTTGATGGATGCTTCTCAAAAGTGATCCTTCCCTGGTAACTTCAGTTACCCAGGACTTTATTTAACCAGCCGACGAACGATAAAACACAAATATAACCTTGGTCAAATATATTCATCCCACTGCAGAAATTACTGCAAGTCCTGATATTTCTGAGGTTTTGGAAACTTGGATAATGAATTCCCGATCTGAGTCACAGAATGTAAACACGTCACCGGGTGCGACCTTCTCGCCGTCTTTCCTGGGCATGAGCACATTGACGGGCACAGACATGCACCCTCACACCATGTCCTGGAGCATCGCTCACTTGCAGGAGATGCATAAATACTCATACAAATTCTCAGGCACCAGAAATGAATTCAAAATCAATTTTGATATCAGCAGATGCAGGGCATAATGGGTAATCAATCCATCCCCTCGGAACATGACCCTCTCCAACCGTGATCTGCACGCAAGGCAGAGAGTAACACATAAAGTTACAATCCTCACTACTAACATTAAAGGAAGGAAAGCTGGGAGGGAAGGAGAGTGTGAAGGATAAAAGTTAACACCTCAGACAATCCTGCTGGGGTGTGAAACTCTTTCACTGATGGCTATAATTAAAAAAAAAAATCTCCAGTATCAAAATGTAAATCAGATAAATAGGAATGGTTCTGATCAAATTTTGTGCAATTCCTGCTTTGCATGCAAGATTCTTCTTGGCGTTGTTACTGCAAACGACAAAATCGAAATGTCAGGAAAGTAGAAAACTTTTTATACATGACCATTCAAAAAAAGTGCCAGCTTGCAATCTCACCCCTATCTACTGTTGCTAAGCACCTTTTTAAAATGTCTGTCTTCCATAACTACCCATCGAGGGTGACTCTTACAATGGACTGGCATCCCATCCAGGGCATCCCCTGCCTTGTGCTCTTTACTCTCTGTGTGGGCTTCTTCTTAAAAATATAACTCAGAAATGTGTACATTTTCCTGTCCATATTAGTCTTACTATGATAGATACAGTATAGCATCAGATTTTTTTCATTGCACAGGTTTAGATTGCAACTAAACAGATAGAATTCATTTTATTTGTACAAGGATGGAAGAATGACCCAAATCTATAGCAAAAAAATACTCTATAAACTACAGAAGCATTGCTGTCAAAAGTCGTCTGCAGTCGAGACAGGTGACCTACATTGTTTTGTTGCTGTGCTGGCAGTGGTCCAACGTCATGTTTACCCAGATTGTAGATGCGTCTGGCAAATGCTGCCAGATCCTTTGCCGGCCAATTAGGCAATACTAGTGACAGGCAATCGCTTTAGTCTCCCAGGACCTGTACCTACAGCGCTATCCCCGGGGTGTTCTGGAAGGGAAGAGGCTGAGGCCGGATTGGTCACATGATCCGGGATCTCACAGTGGAGACGGAGGGTAACTGGCAATATGTTCCGGAACTGTGTGGAATTAGAGAATAACCCCTGTAGCTGACATCAGAGACTAGGGCCTTCTGGAGTAGATGCTTCATCAGGACATTGCTCCCAAGAGAGATACTGTCTGCTAACAAACATCATGCAAAGGCTCAGAAAAACAATAATTCCCTTAGAAATTTACTCTTAAGATACACAGACCAATAGATAGCACGGTTGTTCGCACTGTTGCCTCATGCATCTAGGACCAGGGTTCAAGTCTCTGCCATAGCTGAGTGTGTGGAACTTGCATATTCTCCGTGTCATTGAGGTGTTTCCTCCAGATACTCTGGTTTCTCCACTTGGCACTGAAGCCCCTATGACACTGATTAGGACAAGCGGGTAAACAACATGGATGTTATATGGATCATACCTATTGACATGCTTTGGTGTGTAATCTTTTATCTTATTGGAATATAACACAGGTTAATCACAGTTGAGAAAGAGTGAAGAATGGGGGCTCCATAGGGTCAGTGGAGCTTCATTAGCAAAGCCACCTGATCTACCCAGTGAAAGATTCATCTCGTGAGATCAAAGCTGCTGTCAGCTTTTCCACATTGATAAAAACAACTTAAAGAAAATCCAAACGATTGCATCTGTCAGATGGATATGGATTTAAGCATGGAGTATGGTCATCAGTGGAGGAGCATGATGGAGGTGAGTATGGTCATCAGTGGAGGAGCATGATGGAGGTCCTGTCTTCTGCTATGCTGTGTTCCTTTTGTGGAGCCCGGATAATACTGTTTGTTTACTGCTCTCCTGGGAACAGAAGTCCCTTTTGCTCTCGGTTTATCGGCCGCATGTCTCAGGCAGGGCAGCGGGGCCACACCTGCTTCAACTCTCACATTTGCATCTCACAAGAGAATGTTGACCTGGATCAGTGTGAATGTGTGCGATGTCCTTCTGGAATGGTCTCGCGTTGTGGGTTTCCTCTCTTTGGGAGTGCCTAAAGGGCCATAATCGTTGTTCTCCATTGTTCACCTTCTCAATATCCATCACAGTTAAAATTTACATCGTGTAATTGCCGACACCGGCTCACTTCCCTGACTGTTGAGGTGATTCAGTGCTGCCCATCGAACAGGCCGTTATGAACAAATCAATAGGAGGCAGTGATCTGTTTTCACTCCCATTTTCCTGCATTTCCAGTCTCTCTCTCTTTCTCTCGCTCACTCTGACCACGGCCAACCCATCCAAATCCCAGGGAACCCTGGGTAACGGAAGCGTTTCACATCCCACCCTTAAAGGGACATGACAGCTTTGACAAGGTGTCAGCCTCCATACATACAGTAAGGAGTCCTCCAGGGGAGGCGGGATTAAAATGTGCGCTGATACTGCTGTCTCAGCAAAGCTCACACCTTCCCTGTAGTCGTGCCTTCGCACTCGGCAGTGACACACACCTGTGCACGATACCTTTCTTGCTTAGCAAACCTGTTATCCATGTCCTTCAATTTCTATACTACTAAACCGGATATTGTCTGCTCTGTGATAACCCAGGGCAGCATCTTTTCAGTAGTCCATTTTCATGCAAACGCTACTCTTTATGTATGCATAAATTACTGTTTTTCTGTGCATTTTCATACTATATCTTACCACGTGCTGTATGCTGATAGAGTGGGGGAAAAAAAGCAGGGATAAAGCGGAAGACCAATTACATGGCCACATTAACAGCACATCTGGGGGCGGGACAGGTTCTTACAAAGCTGACGGACTCAAAAGCTCATGTTTCCCAATTCGTCAGAGCGCCACTGAGCTCTTCCCACCGACTCAGATCTGCTGTATAATCGCAGCTGTCCGCAAAGCCCATTGAAGTAAGTAAGAAATTCTAATCCTAAACACAGAGGGGGGAGATTTCCGAAACATTTTGCAGGGGCTTTAATACTCAAGTAAGTGCCACGAAGCACAAAAAATAGTCTGAGTATAACAAAGGGGCAAAACTGTATTTTTGCCTATTGGCTTAATTATTATCAAGGGCTTCGTTCATTATTCCTTGACCTAGAAAAATGTGTCACTTCCCATTAAATTACTGAGGATCTCAGCGTAAACACGGGACAATTACTACTCGGTGCCGGAACACAAATTCCACAGTGAATGGAGCCATGCCAGAGAGGCTCTGAATAATAGATGTGATACTTGGGTTTCTGTTGCAATAACAGATTTGCCTTAATAAACATGTTTCTTCCTAGGAAACCTGCTGCGAAACGTCACATGACATGACCTCTGTGTCAGGACACACAGCCTCCATGCTGCTAAAATGAGGCATTTTCTGCATAGAAAAGTATAGTTTTCGGAGCATTCGGTAAACTCTGTTTTAAACAGGTTGGCTGAAATTCACCCAGATCCCTTAAGCAAACAAATAAAAATAGATGAAATACGGCCTTGCTGATTGAGCTTACTATTAAAAAAAGAGGGAAGTGCCAAATGGTTCTGCCTGGTGATTCTACAGGACAGATGGAAAGATCTGGGGCAATTCACAACATTTAAAGAAACAATCTGCTGTCTACATTGTAGCATATTGACCTGTAGCTGACAGTAAGCAGAACTCAGAGGGATATTGTTAGGCCCTGCCCCAAAGAGCACCCCTAACGCAGAAGCTTCACAGCTCCGGTAGCGAATATATGTGGCACTCCCAGCAACTCCTCTATTTTCAGCAGCTCTTGTGAGCTATAAGAAGGGGTTACCATCAGAGACTCCAAACCAAAGACATTGACCAAGCGTCACATCACAAATGTTAATTCAAAACAAGACATCCACAGTTTAAAACTTCTTGCTATTGAAATTAACTTTGAGTCAGGCCAGCTAGAAAAGGAATATGTTGGATTTTCGGCAATGCCATTATTGTAATAATATGCTATTTTATCTGATATATCGGGAAACTAATTTAATTTGCAGAAATATTATAGTACTTTTATTATTCAAAATGAACGTACGGTCTAGGCAATAATAACCGAGTCTTTTAAGTACACAATGTATATATAAAAGGTTGTAGTTGTTTACATAAAATATGTACATAATTACAGAACATCAATTCACGTGTAACGGAAAAAACATGATTACGTAAATATTTCCTGGCTTAAAAAATAATGGCAAAAACACCGTTAATTAATAATAAACACAGCAGAAGCGGTTAAAAACTGCTGTACAGCAAACTAGCGAGCTTAACCCCCATATAACTCCATCCGGATTTTTACATTTCATTCTGATGTTTTAGAAGGCAGCGGGAAAAATATTACATTCATATGCAGTGATATCAGAGGGCAATGATAATGCATCCGCCTTATTGCGCAAAGGTGACCCTCCCAGTCTGCAGCACATGATTTCTCTCATCTCGATTTCTTCCCCTTTCTTCTGTGCTTCCGCTTCCGTTGCTCGGAAGAACACGCGCCGCTCGTTTTGAAAACTCGGCTGATTTAAGCAGCCGAGCCTAGCCGATCGCAGCCGATCAGGGCGAGCCGCCGCTTGATTGGCTGACATACGCCAGGTATACCGGTGGTAAAGCTACGTCCCACTCAGTTTGGCCAACGGTGCTCGATTGCTTTGGGCTCCTCCGAACATGGCTGGCTCCTCGGATAATGTTACAATCCCCAAATTTAGCAAGCTCCTCCAAATGGACCCGTACCTTAAGCCGTACGAAAGCGATTTCCAGAGGAGGTAATGTTTAGTATTTAACAAAATAGACAATATGACATGCGCGGCTCGGGCCGTGAAAGTCAGAACCCCTGTGTTTTCTATGTATCCCTATGTTTGTGTGTGTGTGTATAGATTCAGTAATATTCAAATTCATACGGTGCTAGCGTTGATATTGCTGAAGGTGACAGCGGTACGGTCTGGCTGTTGTTCAGGGTCATTCTAACGTTCGCACAGGCTTGTCAAATGTGTGACATTATACACCTTTCATTGTTACGATTCTTTTATTATGAGCAAGGAAGCTGATATGATGCAAGTTGGCAGGATGCGAACATTCATTTCTGGTCTGCTGAATGAGCCAGCTAGTTATACTGTCTTAACCAGGGCTGATCATTCCTGCTCCTGGTGACCTACCGCCCTGCAGAGCTCAGCTGCAGCTATTGAAGGACCTGATTATCTGCATCAGGTGTGTTAAGCTTTGCAGGGTGGTGGATCTCCAGGAGCAGGAATGAGCAGCCCTGATCTCAACTTTCCTGTTACCCTCAAAAGAGCAGAAACATTGTTCAAAGTATAATTTACAAATCTAAGGACCCTAACACTGGATGTTTGTATATGTTTATCCTACTTTATACTATGCAATGCATGCGATTTTAAATATACCGATGTGAGCAGGGTTTAGTTGAGGATAAGTCTCAATGGATGCTTCAGTTATGAATCACATTGAGAACAGTACATTAGACGTGCAGGCTCTCTTCATTAGATTCAAATGCATAATATGTAACAAAATATGGGAAAATAAACGTGTTCCAGATAGTAAATATGCACCCACTCTGAGTTTTTTAATCACCAGTTTCAAATAGAAGCTAAAGTCGATGCGTCCTTTTATTTACCTAAATGCCATGTTTCATTTGCTCGGAAGCTAAGGAAAGTTTCCCGAAAATATAATAATTTATAAATGAATAAATGATACCCAATTTTCATGCGGCTTTTTCGTGGGACAGTGCTAATGAACCCAGTCATGTTTACCGAAGGCTCCAGTCCGCAAATATATTTCATCATTTGTTGTTTTATTTTTATTAAAAAGCTCCAGCAGTATATTAAGTTGCAAAGGAAAGCATATCCGCCGCTTCCTTAATTACGGCGGCTCCTGTCTGCACGTGAAATATTTGCTGCTATTAACCAAATGCTGGGTTGCTAACTTTGATCGGCTGGCTGGCGTGAGATTTTCAATTCGAGACTAATCTGCGCACCTTGTAAATACTCCGTAGGGTTTGGAAACCACCATACCGCTTTTGATGTAGCTATAGTTTTGGCTTTATAATGGAACAATGTTATTTGCCCTAAGATTTCTTGCGAGAGTCTGAAAACGTGAGTGTCACGGTAGATGGATGAGAGTCGGTATCGAAAAATGAACGTTAAATGGATGTGGTGCACATCTGGATCAATCTGAAAACACACCTTGTTTTAGCAGTGGAGAAGGGGGTGTTTAACTGTTGTGCAAGACCCCTTCTTGTCTGCAGCATAAGACACGTTGCTGTCTTTTTTATTATTAAGAGGGTGCATTCGGGACATAGGAACCATAAAATGTTTTTTTTTCTCGTAAGAAGCGATTTACTTGACTGTAAATGGCTACCTTTGGTGTGAATAACTGGCTTCAGTTTCAGTAATGGCGCACATGCAGTAAGATCCTTAAGTCAGTCAGAATTATTCATTTTTATGAGTCATTCCTTTATCTTGTGCACAGAAACATTTTGCCAAGTGTTTTTCCAGAAAATTTAAAAACCTTCTGTTGTGTATTTTTCAGATTATAGGTAGTGAGTGGAATAAATGGACCCTCCGCTTACTCTGCCAAACTATTAAAAGGCAGTTATCGTCCACACCGGGAGCTGGTATCATACACTAGGGCGTGTATGTAGATTTGGTTTTTATATTGTCTAACAGTAAAAGCAGAAATGTGTGTTTGTTTCACATTTTTGTCTGGAATGGTTTATTGTTGGGTATTGCTTCTGTTCCACGATGTATATTGTCCCAGAAATAATTGTGATAAATTATATTATTGTCATTTTAAGAATTTTTATGCCACTCATATGATGATATTCGATTAGAGTAGACCCTCTCAAAGAGCAATGAGGTGTTAATTCTCAAGAATATTCAGACTGAAATTGGAATGTCAAAAATATCCTAAATAAAACTAGAGATGGGCGATCCACATTTTTTCAGTTCCGATTCCGATATACAACTGCCGATACCAATACAGATTCCGATACAAGAGCTTTTTTTACTTTGTTATACTTTATATATTATATATAAGCTAGTAAATACAGATGGAAAAATGTATGACAAAAAATATTTAATTAGGCTACTACAAACATACATAATTAACGTACTGTTCCACCTCGTTTGTTTTAAGCGTTTTTGAGGCATTTGCAGTTCAATATGAATATCTTCAAAGCAAGTATACACAAGTGGCTAATGTTTAAAATTTTAACACTTTTTCTCCCATTGTCGTCAGCGCAGTTAAACTTTTGTTGCGATGGCAGCCCCTCTTGTATCACAAGCTGCAGCGACTTCGCAAAACAGTCCAATTAAGTTAGCGACTCCCAAATAATCCATTGCTTTGTTTTGTCTCGCAGTTGCCTGCGCTTTGTTAAAGGGGATTGTCCATTAAACGCTATTCATACCTCAAAACTTTATTTTACATAGATTGCAAATCGCTGTGCTACTGGTTTCTGTTAAAAGCGTATAATACTCCCAGATCGTCACGTCTTATCGTCACGCTCCTCGTACTGCGAAGGGTATGCGCATGACGTCACAGCAGGCGGAAGTCACTGTACTCACACCCACTGAGTAGCAAAAAAAGACTGGGGGCAACGATAGCGTTCGATTTGAATGCTGCAAAAACACATGTAAAATGGTAAAGAGCTGTCGTGCGATTGATTGCCCAAAACTAAATAAGTAAGTATAGGATGTGGATCGGTCACGCATGGCCGATACCCGATCCGTCAAATAGGTCTGGATTGGCGCCAATACCGATCCGAATATTGGTATCGGTGCATCTCTAAATAAAACCACACAACCAGCCCAGTTTTGCGGAGGTTCGGCACAGAGACACTAACAAATCTGTCATTCATTGGCCATTGGCTGTTTCTATGGTTCAAGTTCATTAAGTCTAACATGATGCCGGTTGTTGACACTGGAAGTATGAACACTGTAGACCACGGACGGTACGGCACTGCGCGGCATGCACTGTGACCTGAAGCATGAATCAGCCCTTTGCCACAGTGTAACTGTTTGAAATGTTGGTGGCAAAATTATTGAGGTTACATCCATATTTCGTGTGATAAGTCGGTAGCGTAATTAGCGTGTCAGGTCTAAGCACCATTGCGCGCCCCCCGTTGCTTTATCGCTGTTTACGTGAATCGGTCCCTTCCTGGGGATAGGGATTCCAAGCCAGTGGAGGGAAGATGGAGGTGGGTTGTTCCTGCAATGCAGAAAGGTCAGCCATGCACCTCCTGCGCCCCCACCAACCACTGAGTCTGAACCCTTGGTCAGAGTCTTGTCTGCCTGATGGTAAAGGAGGCAGAATTATTCTCCTCCTGACAGAGTCGCTGTTACAGACGTGCCCCCCACCCCCCCTGCTTGCTCAAACGGGCCCCCGCTGCCTCTTGCAGGGTCATGGCTGTTTCTGAGGTGGGAGGTGACCCTACTGGCTGGAGGTCTGCCTAGACTCAAATGCTGAAGCCAGCACCGAGCCACATGGCTCAGATCACAAATCGGGCAAGGGGGGGGGGGGTGGCAGTTACACCCACTGTTTGTTTAACTTCTTGCATAGAAATGCAAGTTCAGCACTGAGACGGTGTGACCGCTAACGCTAAATGGGGCCACTGGAGAGAGACATGAGTATTGCGATAGGCGGTGAGTGGCAGAGAGGTCAAAGACCCACACGTGACCAGAAGTCGCTGGAAATGACATTTTGCCCATTAATTGGCAGAATAGTAATTTGGGATTCTGTGCAAACTTGTGACTGGCAGTGTGTCGGCACAGGGACACAAAGACAAGGCTTCTGTTCTTCCTTCCCAGCAGCGAGGCCTGATCTTCGAAGCCTGTCAACTTGTTCCTTTAGCGATAAGTGGTCTATTAGCCCGTCTGGACTGCCGTCACCGGAGGCGATAACATGTACTGGGACGACTGTCGAGTGGCCGCTCGGGGCCTTACTGCCCGCCCCACCCCCCTAAAAGCCTGAGCCGTGCAGTGCTGATTTTCCTTTAGCTCTGGCTGTTTGCACTGGCCTTACGTGGGACCGTGGGTGGTGACCGCCGTCGTGAAAACGTGGCACTGGTATCGATCCCCCTCAGCGAGGGGACCTTTTAGACTTTGCAGTGCGATTGTAAGTTCAGATACCTATGATTTTGACTGAAAGGCCTTGAGCAGGTTTAAATGACTGGGGATGAACACACAAGTCTGCCCTAGTGAGGTGGGGTGGGGGTTATGGGAATGTAGGAGAACATAAAATACCTGCTCCATATGTTCTGTTTTTTTTTGCTGTGCCATCTAGGCTTAGATGAGTAATGTTCAATATATATATGTATATGTGTGTGTATGTAGTATATTTATGTGTGTGTGTGTGTGTGTGTGTGTGTGTGTGTGCACATATACATGTACAAATATATGATCATTTTAATAAATAAAGAGGGTCCTGTACTCTGTGTGTGCAGATATTGCACGTTCTGTCTGTGTTGCATGTCTTTCGCCTGGCCTCTCCAGGCAGGTAGGCAACTAGATGAATTGGTATCTCTAAATTGCCCATAGAATGTTTTGTGTGTGTGTGTGTGTCCTGTGATGGACTGGCATCCCGTCCAGGGTGTGTCCCTGTATGATGCACTCTAGGTTAGACTGCAGGCTTTGCTGCGCCCCTATCCAGGATAAATCGTTGGAAGATGGATGGATGGATGTAAAATATGCTGAAGGCTACCATTCACTGTCTTTTTGTGATATGACCTGATTGATCTTGTGGGCCTGAAAGT